ACAATTAATTAATAAAAAAATAATTATTGAAGAAACTATTTACTAAGACCACAAACTATTGAATAGTTCAATTTCCAATCGCATCTAGTTAAGAAAATCAAAACATATTTCTTACTGTCGTATTGTACAATACTAGCCAATTATAATCGTCTGACTTTTTATATATTTTTTTCAAAATTACTATCGTTTCATTTGATTATTATTTAAAATTTTTATTTATGATATTTGATCGAGTATCAATTTTACTTTTAAGCTGTCAGCAGTAAGATATGTAGTATGTTGTATTAAACATCATACTATGATTGTAAAAAATCATACTCATTCATAATCTGACTGTTGCAAGATGGTGATGCAGGTAAAGAATGGTAACTCACCTGCAGTTGGAATCCATCCTTCGATTGTTCGTCGTGATGATTCGGTCCAGAAGATCCGGAGGCTGAGGATAGACACTACGGAACTGAGTGCGCAGTTGAGACTGAACGGAGTGAGCTAATGTTGCCCCCACTTCGGCCTAGGTCGGGTTTCTTCGTCAGTCTTCGACTTCTTCGGGAGACTTCAATGCCTGGTGTTATCAATGAAGAAGACCTTCGACCGTGAATTAAGTAAAGATCGAAGAGCATCAATGGCTAATTCATAGAAAAACTTTTAATTGAACTTCACAAGTCCCATTATAGTTCTAGAGGCGGGTCGAAATATTGTGACTTATTTTTAGTCATAAACTATTATAATGTTCAACCTTAAAATTCAATTTAAACTATGAAGGCACCCATTTAAAGAGAAGTTGAAATCATAGCCGCAAACATTCCGTTTTGATTGGGAGCAATTGATAAAAAAAAAAAATAGTATACTATTTATAAAAGTTATATAAAATGATTAATATATAAACTCAATATAATTATTCTGTAACGAAAAATATAATACGGATTTTTTTTCTTTGGATATATTTGAAAATATCTGAACAAAACAATTAAATATATTTATTATATATTTGTATACTTTAAACATGGAAAAAGGAGATATACAAATAAAAATATATATAAATATAGGAGAAATAAAAGAAATAAGAACACAACGTTCTCAAAGTCAATTTGAAATATTTAAGTAATAGGAATATTTAAATCGTGGTAAAATTCTGATGTAAGGGGCTGGCAAATAGGTCATTTTAAAAAAAACAGGTTTTTTTACTTATTTTTATGTCACTATGTTGCACTTCTTATCTGATGAATTAATCACAAAGGTGAATTAATTATATGTCAACTAATTAGTTTGTAATATGTCAACAGCTATATCTGTTAACTCTTGTTGAAACTAGCTTAGTATTGTGTTTGCTATTGCACTGTGAATATCTAAGAAAATATCATTCATTATCGTCATATTTTGTTGGATTATTTTAAAAAAGCTCATAGAAAAGTTTGCAATGTTTATGGGGATGATGCCTTAACCGAACGCACCTGTCAAAATTGTTTTGCCAAATTTAATTCAGGAAATTTTAACATATTTACGGTTTTTATTTATTTTAACATAACTCAACGGTCCGGTTGGCCACATGAAATTGAAACGAGCAATGTTAAGGCCATTGTTGATCAAAATCCCATCCGTGCGAGAGATTGCTATGGTCCTAAATTTGTCCCACACAAGCGCAGAAAACCATTTGCACAAGCTCGACTATGTTTCCAGGCATAATGTTTGGGTTCTTAACATTTTTTTTTTCATCAAAAATGACAAAAAATGTTAGAACTTCAATCCGATTTTAGTTACCTACAAGAAATTTAGAGTCTCATAAACTACACAAAAATGCATCAACAGAATCTTCGTAAAGAAACTACAAATGGAGATAAAAAAATAAAAACCTATAAGGAATTTTTGTTTATTTATTCCTTATATAGGCATTAAATAAAAAAACAGTTCATACGGCTTTGAAAAGAAATAATACAGATTTCCAACGGATATAGTAACATCGAATTCGGAGAACATCCTGAAGAGTTATGAATGATCGGAAGGGTGTTGTGTTCCACCAAGACAACGCTAGGTCCCACACCTCATTGGTCACTCGCAATAAATTATTGAACCTTGGATGGGACCTTTTGTCCTACCTTCCCTATTTACCAGACATAGCTCAAATTGACTGCCACTTATTCCGGTATCTGCCGAACTCCATGAATGGAAAGAAATTCCAAATGGAAGAGGATATAAAAAACCACTTGGATTTTTGAACATGACATTATGCAGTTAGTGGAAAGATGCAACTGGAACTTATTTTCCAATCCAATACATACTTCTAGGACTTAGTCTTGCCTGTTATTCGACTCTTCCTATTTTCTTAATGGATTTTAGTTTACATATTTAATTCCTTCATATAGATTATTTGTTATTAATTGTATATTTAAAATATCGAGGAGAAAACAATAGAAAATGATAATGACAATTTTAATAAACCACTCATTTTACTAGTTTCAATTCAGTCCTGTTAAATCCTTTGAAAGGTTCAGTAATCCAGTAATATTGTTTCAAAAAACAATAAATCTTTTTTTTAAAGATAATTCACCATACTGGGATTAATATTTTGGGAACTGATAAAACGAACGAGATAATTATTATAAAAATCTCGTAGAAACTATAGTTTTCATCATCTTTGTCAAAATAAAATCCCAAAATGGTAATTTATTTTTTAAATACTCTATTTTCACGATGCAATGTCCTCTTTTCACATGTTTACATTCTTATCACATTTTTACCTTCCACCACACTTTCTCGACTCCTGACTTCATGCTTAGTCCTATCTTCCAATTATTATAAGTTCGAGAATGACAATATTTTAATGAAATTAATAAACAGTTGGTAAACGTAACTAAATTAAAGGATAGTAAATGTAAACAAAAATATATCCATTGCTTACATCCATGTCGAATAAGGAATTGAAGTCTCCATTTTAATCTTTATTGGACTATAATGTAAAATGGAGACTTTAATGCTATCAGTAAGACTGTTATAACGACCTAGTGGTTATGGAATGTATTATTGTTAAGCATGAAAGAGATTCCAAAATTACCAGTTTCTGCTCAACATGGAGTATGATGTACTTTTCTCCTTAAAGAACATAGTTACATTTACTTCTTTTTTTTATCATTTGTCTACAGCATCTTTGTTTATTCGATCTATCCATCTGGTTTTCGGCATTTCACATGATCTTTTGCCAACAATTGAGGTATCCATTTTTATATAAAGGCTTCTTGATAGATTGTTACGAGTTGTATGCCTTAACTATTAACCTTCTTGCCTTCGTAACATGATATTTTGGTTGTCCAGTTTTTGAAAGCAGTCTTTTCATGTCGATTGGAAGGGGGAGGGCGAAGGAACAAAAAAATTGCATATTCAACATAATTATTGTGAAACGAACAAATATAATATTGAATATTTAAAAATAAATTAGTATATTTGTTTGGAAGTTGTCCATTTCTTTTGTTTTTTGTGCTTATGGATATACTTGAAAATATCTGAAAACAAAACAAATGGATTTATTACAATCTGTATCTATTAAACATAGAAGGAAGGGGGGGGGGCAGCCTTCAGTACATTGGCACATTTATATGATTTTTTCAGCTAAAAATGAACAATGTTAAAAAAAACGAAAAATATTTTTGATTTCTTAGTTTGCACAACCTTAAAATAAAAATAGAATGTTTTCACAATCTAACTGGTTATGTAAAAATGTCTATAAAAATATTCTCTATAAAATATATTTATTCTAATATATTAAATAATATATTAGAATAATATATAAGTATATATATATTAATATATATATATATTAATATATATATATATTAATATATAAGTAAGAATTAAATTTTCGCATTTAAGTGCTATCAGCCTCTATAGTTTCATAATTATCTACACAAGGTGTAGGGTGATACATGGGGCGAACGGAAAAGGAGTTAAAACCAATTCTGTGTCTTCCTTAAAGTGGTCACGTTTTTTATTTAATAAGAAGGAATTTCTCAATAAATGTTCAAGATAATTATATTCCAAACACCCCATCGTAATAAACCTTTCTTTAAGAAAACAGTGATTAAATTCACTATGGTCAATTATAAAAGGTACTTTCAGGAGGTCTAATACAAGACAGAGATAGGCTGTTCGTTTATGGGTATTGTACCTACAGCAGTACAACGGCCGTATTAGATCCCATGAAAGTCCCTTTTATCATTGACCTCAGTAAATTTAATCATTATTTTCTTAAACAAAATTTTGTCTAATTTATAATGATGTACTTAGAATTTAATTATCATGAATAATATTTGAAAAAATCTTTCTTATTCAATAAAAAATTTGACCATCTTAAGGAAGAAAAAAAAATGGCCCATGCATCAGATGAACTTTTTTTGTTGGACATTTTGTCAAGAATTACCCCACAGAGTTTTGCCACTAAGAACTGAGACACGCTGTATATTACCTGTATTACTTATCAATACAAATATATCAACATTATTTATTTTATTTCTAAGGTTATCTAACTCTGTAATTTAATCATTTCTTGTCAGAGAAATGACACCTTTATTTTTCATTATTATTAAAGGAAGGAAATGGTCTGGGGTGGCGGTCACAATTGAATTTGCATGAAAATTTAAGATCGCACTGCGTAAGACGAATCCTGGAAACAATAATGAATTGGGGCGGGAGGTACTCCCTCATCCACCATACTCGCCCGATGTACCATTGGCTTTACATTTATTCAGATCGTTTCAATACTTTCTTGGTGGAAAGAGATTTCCAAATTTGAAAGATGTCCAAAATGCCATTCCTACATAATTTGCTCAAGATGATCCATTTGATTTTTATCGATCCTGCATTGAAAATTTGCACACCAGATGGCAAAAGGTTGTTGATAAAGATGGTGATTTCATCATTGGTTAAAAACTAGTATGAAATTTATGTGTTTCAATTCAATGTATAAAAACGACATTACTTTCCGGTCCCCCTAATTTATTAGAAGAGATATTTTAAATTAAAATATTTATTTTTGTATTTATGCCGATGGTGTCGGATAATGAATCATTTTGTTTCGATCACAGTTGGAGTAGTTGTTGCAGTCGACCAGCTGAAGAGATTGAGAGAAGCAAATTCTCACTTCCAGTATTATGGAGGGCTTGTTTCGCTGAAACACATATATACCATTATATACATATAAACCATACCATGTACTAGAAAATATAATAAGTGATAGTTTCTATAATACCGATTTTATTTTTATGGTTCTTACGAAATTGATATGGTACAAGATGTTTCGAAATCCTTTTATTACAAATCGTAAGTATATGGAATTTCATTCCTTTATCTGCGACACATCCAACTTATTCCCAACTTGTAGTTTCAAATTACTCTATCTTTGTTTAATCACGAAGTTAGTATAAATTTGAGGATGGAGAAATTAGTCTTTATTTCCTAATTAGTTTCTTTTAGAATGTTGTACGACCTCTCACTGATGATAAGTTTTTCATAAGTTTTTTTTTGCTACTTTATTTCCGTGTCCTATATTCAAAGCCAAGGCATTAGTTGTATTCACACAATGAAGGTATCGCATACCGATATTTAAAACAAACGGCGCCCTTTGAGTTAATGCTGAAATTGAATATACGGAAGGCAATGAACTGCTTGTGTTGAGTACTTAGGATAAAATCATATCTGCCGCTTTTCAAAGTATGCAGCGCTCTTAGATATTTTTTTATATACACGCAAACCTCAGTGTGCCTTTTTTTCTTTATTTTCTTTATTATCTTGTAAAATTTTTATTTTAATGAAATTTACAACTGTTACATGGAAAATACAACAAGTAAATGTGACATTGGTAACATGACATGTACAACATGAAGAGAAACTACCCATTGGTAGAACTCAAATTAAAGTTCTCTATTAGAAAGTCCCGAGGCCATCTTCTTTTCAGACGCCTCGGAAGGTTATCAGGGATCGAGGAGGAAGCAAGGTTTGAAACGAGAGGATTCGGATGGTTCTGCAGTTTTTTATGGAAGGATAGGTATCTGGATTGGGTCAAATCGGAAACATATGGAACATTAAGGTCTTTATGGATGATTTTATTTGTAACAAAGTAAGGAGCGTTGAGGATTTTACGAAGGATTTTGGATTGTAAGGATTGGATACGAGAGGAATTCGATGGTTTAGTGGAGCCCTAAAGCTGAATTCCGTAAGTCCAAATAGGTCTTATTATTGTCATATATATGAGTCGTTTGTAATTGATTGAAAGCTTAGAGCGTTTGTCTAGTAAGTGCTGCAGTAGTCGAAAACGTCGGGAGGTTTCTAGTCGTTTTAGTTGAAGGATACTGTAGGACAGAAAGTCATAGGTTTACGGCGAAGAAATAAAATATTAAGATTAATTTAGAGTTAAATTTTATTTTTATAAATATTTGCAGTAATTAATTTTATGGTTAAATATCAGCTGCCTCATTACAATAATTCAATTTTCATACGAATTTGTTTCGTTATCAAATAGTTATAAGATGTTTATTACTAGTATACGACAGTGAAAACTATCTCATTTTATTGCCATTATTCTCACTAATCATGAGCGAATTGTTTTTTTTCGTATATTCAATATTATGTTGATAATAATCAAGATATGCTCATAGGCGTAGACTTCTGGAGGTGGGGGATTCCATAACAGAGATCTGGGAGGAAAACACTATATTTAAAAAATCATTATTTTTAAGTGATTTTCGAGGACTGAGAGTGGAGGTAATTTGATGGGATTTATTGGAATTGATTTTAATCTTCCAGTTTTGACACCATTTTTCAAGATTTGTGATGTGTAATTGAAGAGTTTGGAATGCAATAGATGGCTCGTTATTAACTGATAGGATACATGTGTCATCGGCATAGGTGGTGATGACAGTGTTAGGATGTGTTGGGATATCAGCTGTATCTTAAAATTGAAAACTTAATGTGATCCCTCCCAAAAAAAATTCTGATGGCGCAACATGTGGCATACATCCCTTGTGTGGGCACCCCTGCAGTGAGCGGTGTTATCTTTGCCCACTAGAGTAGATTTTTTGGTCGCTTTTTACAGTTTGAGCGGTCAAGCGGAAATTAGTGCACTATGGACTTGCCCTTAAAAAGATGATGGTTTCCTATTTGCGCAACAGTAGCACCTATATTAAGGTTTTACTCTCTGTCGTATCGTCTATCTTAGTTGTCATTTAATTTAAACTAAAACACTCTGTTGAGTATAACTCACGTTATAATAACAGATTACTTGTGGAGTCTTATTTATAACTCTACGTATGGCTTCTGTTATATCGTTGAAGGAATAGTCCCCACCGGGTACTATCCCAGATGTTCTGAAGATCTCTCCCATTTCGTACTGCCTCACCCAGTCGAGTGCTTGCTTGAAGTACTGGTACTGCGTCTCTATTACCGGCAGTGCGCAGGTACCGTGCTTCTCCCACTCGTGCTCCCAGAAGTACGTCTTTCTGGCATTAACTTGTATCGGTGTCCACCATTCGTCCAGATCCCGCTCAAGTCCTCCTACTTCTGCTAAGTTGAACTTTCGCGAAGGATCGCAATCGTTTGGACCTCGCGTTCCAAGTTGTGTCGGCCTGAAACAGATGTTATTTTTATCTAATTATTTTTATTTTTTTATTATGAAGCCTACGTTTATAATTTTTTCATATTTAAGGCAATAATACTTCCAATTTCCTTCAAATTCTTTTAATTACATTTGTTATCTCTAACGTTTCAGGACAATTTTCCCATCATCAGAGCAATCTTTATCTTCACTGTATATATAGGTGAAACATCAAAAAAACTAAAAACCAGAATAGCACAACATACATAAACTGCAAAAATAGTAAAAACATTAACATAACAGCCCTAGCAAACCATAGTATTAAATCATTACACACTTTTGACTTCAAAAACCCAGAAATACTAGCAATAGAACCAAAAACAAATAATAGGAAACTGCTGGAAGCCATACTCATAACAAAAAACAATAATAGAACAGTAAACTATAAAAAAGATACAAAACATTTAGGTATACACTATTCGGACATAATATCCAATATTGAAATTTAAAAAAAAAACATAGCCAAAAAAAAAACACAACAATCAGCCATAATTAGAAATAAGAGGACAGGTACAAAGTACAGAAATAAAACTAAAGATAGCCAGATGTTGGTTAGTGTAACAAGGAATAAGAAAAGATGTGTAACACCAAAAAAATATAAAATAAATTTGACAAATATTTAATTTTTGACATATGGTGCCACATCAAAAAAAAAGAAAGGTAAATAATTATAAAATAGATAAAGTAGAATGATATTGTTAAATAAAAGTTAATATAAAATGTGCATAATTCCAGTGAAGATAAAGATTGCTCTGATGATGGGGAAATTTGTCCCGAAACGTTAGAGATAACAAATGTAATTAAAAGAATTTGAAGGAAATTGGAAGTATTATTGCCTTAAATATGAATAACTGTTATTTTTAATAAATTTTATGCAGATTAATAAGTAAAATTATCGAATAGGATATCTTAAGTAGTTTAGCACAGAAAGGAGAGATTTTACTAAAAAAGTTTTAGTTAGTTTTTGAATTGTCGGTTCAATTGACATTTCATTGAAATTTCGAAACGCGAGTAGTCTTTGTATGGCACAAAAACATGGACTTCTCACAACAAACCTGGATTGCAGACCTCCTCTCTCAGCTCCTACATCATTGTCTTCCGTCATAAGGGATCTCAGGTACTTGAACTCTCTGCACACTGGAAACTCGTGTTGGCCTTTGCTTAGTGTCCGATCTTGATGAGGGGGATGTCTTGAGCTCTTTATGTACATCGTCTTTTGCTCATTTAATTTTAGATCTCCTCCTGCCCTACAGTATCCTTTAACAATTCCGCACTTATTCCAGTTGAACAAACGACAAGAAACCGCTCGACGTTTCCAACTACTGCAGCACTTACTAGACAAACGCTCTAAGTTTTCAATCAATTAAAAACGGCTCATATATATGAAAATAATAAGATTTATTTGGACTCACGGAATTGAGCTTTGGGGCTCCACTAAACCATTGAATTCCTCTCGTGTCCAATCCTTACAATCCAAAATCCTTCGTAAAATCCTCAACGCTCCTTACTTTGTCACAAACAAAATCATCCATAAAGACCTTAATGTTCCATATGTTTCCGATTTGGCCCAATCCAGATACCTATCCTTCCATAACAAACTGCAGAACCATCCGAACCCTCTCGTTTCGAACCTTGCTTCCTCCTAGATCCCTGATAACCCTCCGAGACGTCTGAAAAGAAGATGGCCTCGGGACCTTCTAATATAGAACCTTAATTTGAGTTCTATCAATGGGTAGTTTCTCTTCATGTTGTACATGTCATGTTACCAATGTCACATTTACTGGTTGTATTTTTAATGTAATACAGTTGTAAATTTCATTAAAATAAAAATAAAAATTAAAAAAATTGTAGATCTCGGGCTGCTGCAGCGGTCTCAAATTCCTCTAATGCATCTACTAGCGCTGGGAGCGTCCTTCCCACAATCTCAACGTCATCTGCGTACGCCATGTGTTTTGTAAAGCGGTACTAAAAATAGCCTACTTCGTAAAAATAAATTAATATTCCATTTTTACTGATAAATTTATAATAAACGAAGTTTTGTAAGAATCATCAAACCCTCACGAATTGCTCACCATGCTCCGTGAACTGTCCAATGGTTCTTAGGATACTTGTTACATGTGTTTCCACCTCTCTGATTGGTCCACTTGTCGCATACCGATTCGGGCCAGTTCTGGACGAAGACGAACACGTCCCAATTACGGCCTCCACTCGTCGAAGGACCGAAAAAAAAACTATAAATATAATTATTTAAATATACAATTTTACATGTTAGCATTACATGTTTTGGGTGAATATTTGACTAAAGTCATTATAACAATGGCTGTTCCTGAAACAGTAACAGGTGTTCAGAATTTTTCATATTTTCAATATATATCTTACCATTGTCAATGCTTTTCTATGTTCAAAGATGACCAAAAAGAAAGAACCCCTGTTTTTTACATAACTGCAATTCAAAATATTCTTTAAAGTATCGACCTCCGGGCGAGGCAACTGGGGTAATTACCGTGGAGGAGCGCTTCTTAAAAATACAAACTTATTAAAATAATTAACATTAGACTATAATTTTTTTTATGACTTTTTTATTGAAGTGAAGTTTAAATTATAGAATAGTACTATCGTTTGATGATGAATGATATAATAGAAATGTATAATACAAAAAGTTTAGCAAGCATCTGACTGTTTTTGGGATTGGAATTGGAATAGGAGGGTTTTGAATATGGATATGGATTTTGAATTTTGATAGGCAGAGAATTCCAGAAATTGACAGCGCAAGCTATAAAGGAGTTTTGAAATGAGGCAGATCTGTGAGAAGGGATGTAGTGGTCAGAAGGATAAAGAACTGGGAATGGACTGAGGACTTGAACTGGAGAAGGTTGTAGGCGTAAGAAGGACGATGATTGTTGATGATATGATAGAGGAACGTACCTAGGAAATATTGTCTTCGGAAGGAGGGAAGAGACACCTTAACTCAGTGTAGTGGTGAGAGACATGGGAGTACGTCGGGGCACCAATAACAAATCTTTCATTAATCTTTTCAGTCTATCACGGAGCTCCACCGAGAGGCCATCTTACACCACACCATCATACATCATACACCATAATGATGAGCTATTATTAAAAATAGCGTCACTGGTATGCTTAAAGTAGAAAAGTACTTCTTTTGTCCCCCTCCCCTTCCACGCCTTTAAGGCTATACCGGGTTTCCCCGGGCCAGGAGGTGAGGGCGGGGATTAATGGCAGAGTTAAAAGACTCGCCCGGCACCGGGATGTGAACTCGTTACTTATTTTTAGTTATATATTATCTTATATATATCAGGCACTGTGTTGTGCACATGCGTTAGTCCGTTCGACCATCCCACCACAAGCCAAATTTATTTAGTGGCGCACCAACGGAATGAATCGCAACCCTCCTACTCTGGTTAAAATAGGTTTGGTTATATCTCTACCACAATCCCCCTCCCTCTCTTCGTATGCCAAAAATAAAAGATGTGTAAGGTTTGGAATGGCTGCTATAGAATTGCAAGAGAAGGAATGTTTCCACAGGAGAGTTTAGCAATAGCAAATTTTGGAATTTTCAACAATGGAAAATTGTACAAAATAATTAATTTATGTTGAGAATAAACTGATTATTTTTTTGTTAGCTTTACACAGGGTCTTTATTTCAGAATGGTATTTTATAATTTTTTTCAAAATCAATTTGCTTGGATATTTTTTCAGAAAATTCATCAAGAATTTCTTTTCATTTTCCAAATTTGCCATAATTTTGGTAAAACACGATCCATATCTGATGTTTTCTAATTGTTAATATTATCGTTGATAGAATATGGTTGACTGATCTGGAGACAATCCACTTCGCACATATACATACAATGTTCAATGAACATCTTTTAAATTATGTAGTTATTTTAATTATTTAAAAGATGTTTTAAATTCTAAGTGAACTATAGTTTAGGTTAGAATATACCTGTCCACAGAAGCAGAACAGAAGAGGAGTAAAAGAGCACTTGCGATTAATCCCTTTGGTGTCATTCTGGCAGGTTACTTGATTTTAAATGCTAATAAGACAAAGAGGATATCAAGGCTATTATAATGAAGGCATTGAAAAAAGTTGGAAACTCATTTAATAAATAATTAATAAAATAGTGATGATGAAAGCAGTTGAGAATAAAATTAGTCTAATAGAATTTGTAAAAATTAAATTGAAATGTTAAATATTAAACTGAAAAAAAAGAAAAGAACTATACCACTATAACTGATAAAGGGTCTTACTATTTAGGCGAAGTAGGGTTTCTTGGTCCACAGTTGTGCAAGAAGGTGATTTAACCTCGATCACACTCAATAGTCAGGTTTTCTCCCTTAATTAATTATTTAATTATCTGTACCCACTAAATAGAGGCTGGGTGTACCCCAGTAGGGTCTCCCAACTCCGCAATCGCTCCACAGCTAATTAAAAGAATAAATAAATTTGAGCATTGGAAGCTTAGTGCCTTACCACTGAGCTACCCCACTCTCCCAATATTAGGTTGAAATTCAATTTATGTTTAAATATCCAAGTAATGTTTTCAGTGAATTTAGAGGTGGAGGTAGAAAATTTAATGCAATTATAAATTCATAAATAACGAATATTTAGAATTTTTTAGATTAGTTTAAGAATTATTTGATATTGATGAAATGTTTATTTATTATTTCTGAATTTGGGTCTCAGACATGTAGGGCATTACGTCCATTTCTTAACCAATTTGGCTGTTTTTTTCTTTAGGTGTATTTTTTTACAGAAGTTTAAATAAGTGTGACTTTGACCAATTATGAAGTTACATGGCTTAAAAGAGCATTATTTAAACTTTTATTGAGAGAGAAACAAATGTTCAAACTGCTCTTCTCTAAATCTAGAGAAATGTACATATTATTCTATATCTCTGAGGTACAGAAATGTTTTAACTGTATCCTAATCATGAGATAAATTACACAAGTATACTTTTATCCGAAGAGAAAGATACCTTCGGTTTATTTAAAAAAACTACTAAGTGCACTTTTGATAGAGCTCCATTTTTAGTACATATTTATAAATTGCAATCATATTTATCAATGTGTAAACTCAATAAAGTGTATACAAATATTACCAATTCTATTACATGCCAAGAAAAAAAATAAACTAACTCTGATAAAAAATGTATTATGTTTTTCACTTCACAGAGAAAAAAAAATCATAATTTATTTAGTGATTTAATTTTCTGAAATATTTAAACTTTTTTTTTTTTGTTAGGTTAAAGAAATGTGGTCAGTGTTCTATTAATTCCAAGTTACAGAAATAAAAATGATTTTTCAATCATTATTTTTGTTTATAATTTTTTCCCAACAATGATTACTATATCAGAAGAAAACTATCTTAATTAATATTAAGATATTTTAATTGCTTCTGAAAATGAATAAAAATTGTCTTTATACATACTAAAAATTATATCATAATATTTTATAGTTTGATATTTCTTGTTTGATATTTTTTAGTAATTCCATAGAATCATTAGAACTGCTTAGATATTATTAGAATGTTTCGAAATAAATCCTTAAATCTTTCATATCCCAGTAAGTAACTAGCTAATGAAATGTTTACTAATTTAAACATTTATGGAAAAAACAATATAATGTATAAGTAGTTTGTGCTTATCGCAACAGTCTAAAAATATTATCTCCTTTCTCCTTTAATGAGCATAAATAGTTCTTGGAGTAATGAATTATCTCTGTATTTATATAGTTTTCTGAATTTTCCATACATATAATATATATAAATATACTTTAATACTTTTTGAAATCTTCTAATTATATCAAAATAATTATTTATTGCATTTTTGTTTTATTAAAATTTCTTATATTGAACATGAATAATGTTGATTAATCCAAAAATATGTAGGTATTTGTTTATGTTCATACCACTAGTATCATGTCTGTAAATCATAAATTTGTTTTATTTTAATTTTATAAGGTAGAATATGAACTATTTTTATCACCTTGAATATTATCCTTGATTTTTCTTCATTTTCATCATGATTTCAAAGAAAACCTGACAACTTCTTTCTACAATTTCATGGTAGATTGAGGGCATTGAAAGAGCATTCTCATTGTATTTTAAATCAACCTGTGACAATAAAATCAACATTAATTCATTCATAAAAATAATGTTTTTAAAATTGCTTGTATTTTTTAGAAATTACAAACTATAGCTGTCTTTGAATTGCTTCATTCACATCTTTCAATGTGCTAAGTGCTTTTTCTTAATGCTCCTCATGCATTTCTTTAATGAGGTTGTTATATATTGCTCAGTCATCATTGTAAATTGTCTAAAATGCTAAAACAAAAGTTGTATTCATCTTTATAGAATTGAATATGATAATGTATTTTAAATAAAAATACAATTTAATAAACGATAATTAAATGACTGAGATTGAGTTTGGGAACTGTCTCATTTCAACATCACTAACCTACCTTACTTGAACAATATTTAAAAGTTATCCCCTCCCCACATATATTATTACAGTAAGGCTCGAAATCGGTTTTGTGCCAAATATAAGCTCCTGTCATGCTCAAATACCATGAATGGAGTACCGATGGATTCAGAATTTCACCGGGGGTTAGCGAATCGTATTCTCCACTTTTGTTTTTCTTTCTAAAATAAATAAAGTCGATACAAACAGTTTGCTAGGCTTCAATACTGGAACGGTGGTAGGTCTGTAGATCGATGCGGGACAAATTGGACCTTGAAGATTTTGATGCTTACAGCAAGACCCGGACAGTTCCTCCGGAACTATCGGATCCTGCGTTTTTAAGCGCAAAAACGTACTATTTTCGAGATAACGCAAAGCATGGGGTTGCATCCACACAACCTTACATTAATTGTAGTACTGTCATTGGATACATGTCTCATTTCGTCGACTTGAGCTCTCTATGATCGAGAGAGGGGAGTTTATATTATTTATCGATGGTGTTTTTGATCGGTAAGCCATATCATCGTTAATTCTTCACCGAATCTCAAGATTGAGCTACCAATTTCGAAGGCTTCATTCTCCTTCAGGCTGGCAAAATAGTCCAATCACCACGAAAATTCAGGCAAACAAGTTATGAAAGAAAAGAAACTTTATTTGCAAATAACTAAAAAATTACACACTTTTCCCTTGGTTATTCCCATGATTATATAAAACATTACTAAATTGTTTACAAAAGGAAAAAAAAATCATCGAAATCGATTAGAAATTTTTCCAATACTTTTTGTTTTTCATTTTATTATTTATTTTTTCGTATTTTCGATTAATATTCATTAGGAGAGTTCTATTATAGCCCATTTTAGTTGAAAATAACTATATACTTGGCATATAGTAGCTACATTATCAGTACGACGATGAAACAATTTGTACTGACCGAAGGACGAAAGTGGGTTCAAATATTTTTTAAGGGAAAACAGAGTTGATATTTGTATTTCGCACCTCTATAAAGCCTCAAATACGAATTTTCATAGAAATCAAAAATATATTTTTTTTTTGCACCAAATCGGAACCAAGGCTTAATATCCAATTAAATTAAAAACCATATCAAAAAATTTATGAATTTTTTGTAAAACGTAACTTAGCAGAGTTTTTCAGCTTTATGGTCCTCTTAGAATGGTTTTAATAATGACAAACACTACTTTCATTTGAATTAAATTTTATCTAGTTTATTATGGAGTAATGTTTAATTACTAAAATCAAATATTTTTTAGTTATCGCTTCCTATTTAACAAAAAATGTGGCTTGCATAAAAAAACACAAATCTTAAATTTTTTACTTTTCTGATGAAAATGGGGCTATTATTTATATGAACTTATTTGTAGATCTTGATGTCTTCTATCAACGTTTGAAATATTTCCTTCTACTTACGGGGCACCCTGTACATAGGTAAGTTTCTTACACCAAAGTTATATATACAGGGTGTTTTGTAATTGCACGACACTCTTTTAGGTATGTGTTCACTAACACAAAATAAATAAAAAAGTTCATATTAACATATATCTCATAACATAACTCATGTATTAAACAGATATCAAAGATTAAATATTTATTATTTATTTATTATTATTACAACATTTAGAGAAGAATTATAGAAATAGAATGCAACATTCAGCACGACGAATCCATGCTTCTCTGGTTCTTCTTATAGCATCAGGATGGTGCTTGATAGTTACTGCGGCTTCCACGATCCGATTTCTTAGATCTTCTTACGTGCCAATACCGCATAATAAACCATAAACTTCATCCGGCCCCACATAAAATAATCTAATGGCATTAAATCCGGAGATCATGGTGTACATTTAACAGGTCCGTTTCTACCAATACATCGGTCTCCATAAGTTACATTTAAATAATCATTAACGCTATGAGAAAAGTGAGCTGGAGCACCGTCATGCATAAACCACATCCTTTGCCTAATGCCTAGCGGAATATCTTCTAGGAGTTCATGAAGATAAGCAAAAAATGCAATTAGATATACCTGACAGCCTAGATGACAAAAAGAAGGGGCCGATGATGTTTTCGCTTAGAAGACCCCACCTGATATTTAAAGAAAAGGTATGTTAGTATTGTCTAACAGCATCCAAATGAGGGTTTTCTTCAGCCCAAGTATGGATATTTCGAAAATTAAGAATCCCGTTTCTTGTTAAGCAAGATTCACCAGTAACCAAAATGCAGTTCAAGAAGTTAGGATCTCGTGTGCATTGTCGAATTAACCACTGGGAGAAATTTCTGCGCTTGTTATAATCTTGTAACAAATCTTCTCTATTCAATGCGTTAAATGGATACAACAGCTGTTCGCGTAAAGTTCGCCATATGCTGGTAGAGGAAACATCGAAACGACGTGACAATCTACAAGATGAGCAATTACTGTCATTGCTTATCGTTCATTTGTTTATCAGTTGATTGAAACCTGTTATTTAGTATTAAATGCGTTAAACTTTGTACAGTCAGTCTTAATGTAGAAAAATAAATAATAAATCTTTAACCTTTGATATCTGTTTAATAAATGAGTTTGAGACATATGTTAACATGAACTTTTTTGTTTATTTTGTGTTAGTGAACACATGCCTAAAATAGTACCGTGCAGTTACGAAACATCCTGTATATATGACTTTAGAGTGTGAAATTCATCCGGCTTACAAGTGCGCCCTTCACTCAAAATATTTTTGGATCCCCCATTGTCCTAAAGAGACTACTATCAGAAACCATAGATGGAAGGCAGAGTAGGAAGGTCAAGACTGTGATAGCGGAATTCTGTGGCCTATGAATGAATGAATGAAAATAATTTAATTATTCTGGGACTATTGTCCCTTTAAAACAAGTCACAAATACAGAATATATAATAATGTTTTGGTGTGTCCATAAAATACAGTTTAATATTTACAGGTTGATTAGGAATACAATAAAGTTATAAATAATAAAAAGATATGAATACATGTAAATATAAAATATACAGAGAAAGTAATTAAGTAAACGAAATATCGATGAATCACAAAGTGATCAGAGTATCTGGTCGTACTTTGAGGTTTTCACAGCTTAGGTTTTTAAGTGCATTTCGTGATCAATCGGATTGGGAATGGAGTAGGTGTTCGAAGAGGAGAGGCTTGAAAGAGGATATTGATTTTGCGTGTCGGATATCTGAAGGTATAGAGTTCGAGAGGGAGACAACTTGAATTAAAAAGAATTTATCAAACGCAACAGTTCGGTGAGGAGGAGGATAGAGGTCGGACGCACGGGATCTGGTGTGACGGGATTGTAAGGAGCGATTGAATTGTAGGATCTGTCGAATATAGACGGTTCGCCGTGTTCTAATGGCTCGGTATAGGAAGATAGCAAGGAAATATTGACGGCGGTAGGACGGATAAAGCCACTTCAACTTGGTGTAGAACTGGGTAATATGCGTATCCCTTGAGATCCCGAAGATAAAGCGGATTGAGCAATTCATTAAACGTTTAAGTTTAGCTTTGAGTTCTCCCGAGAGTCCACCATACACCATGCAGCCATAGTCGAAGTGGGAAAAAACAAGAGAGGAGACCAGGAGTTGACGGGTAATATGAAGCGAGGAATATTGGTGTTTGAATCTGGCTGCTTGCTGCACAGAATCGACTACTGACAATTGAGGAAATCTTGACTCGTTAGTTCAACAACAGAGCTACAGTAAAATGTGTTTTAAAAGGTGATATTCTTCTTACAGATCATCCATTAGAAATTATCCAAGCAGCAGGAGTTCATATTGAATCTACTCAACAAATAGATCGCTAAAAATAAAATATAGTCAGTGTTACAGACCCCTTTTCATCAAATCACTGACATCCTCCTGAAACTTCTTAAATAGCTTCATATCATCTTAACATATAAATATTTTATTTAAGAAAACTCTCGAAATTGGGACGTTGTCAATCTGGTGGTCGGCAAACTTTGTCTATTTAATTAGGTAATAAAGGACTTGTAAGTACCTAATTGCTTTCCACTTGAATTGTAAGATAACTTGAGCACAAAGTTGAGAAAGAAATTGACCTTCAAAAAGATAGACCTGTACTCCCAAATTGTCAAAATAATGAGGCTAAACGACCCAATAATTTTGTAGGCCATCTTTTTTTATAGATTTTGTGATCAAACTATCTTAGGATCCAAGTGGAAAGCAATAGAGTATTTACGAGTTTTTAGTATCTAATTAAATAAACAAATTTTGCCGACCTCCAGATTGAAAACGTCCCAATTTCGAGAATTTTCGTAAATAAAATGTTTGTAGATTACGATGAGATGAAGTTATTTACAAAGTTTCAGGTGGATGTTAATAATGTGATAAAAAGGGGTCTGTATCATGATAGCGATAGTCCGTGGACTAATAAGTTCTGCATAGAATTCTTGGCACCGATATCACTTCTTCATCAACTTTTTTGGAGAAAGCCCTGATGAAGGCCTGAACTTCAGGTCGAAACGTCGGTAAATGTCAAAATAAATATTATCATTTATTTTTGCCTTCTTATTTGACTGATCACCCCAACTATTCTTCTCTTCATGATTTTAATTTTTATTCTTAATCGCTTTGTCGTAATGTCTAGAAAAAAGCATTTCCAGCTGTGTTAGTCGTGTATGGGCCGGATCAATAACGAACACAGGCAAACATTAGAGAACCGAACCAAACACACCATTTACACGCTCCTACTTGCCATATTTTGGGTCGTGTGTAAACACTCACATTCATGACCATTTTAGACAATTATTTTTTTTTACTAAACCTAAGATTGACTTAACAGCCTTACTTTTTTAACGAACCATATTCGATTATTGTCCTCTTCAAATGCTGAAATCACCAGTTAAAATTTCTGAAACAAGTTCGTTTTCTTATCTGTTCTTTCCGGTTTTGATGTTCTATATTTTATTGAGTTCGCCATATTCCTGTACGTATACTGTGAATCTTCAAGAAACATTATAGAAATGTAGAAAAATCGTTACTTCCCATTATGGGAGAATTTTTTTTATTGTAGACATTATACCATGTGTTTTTGTCTATAAAATTAATTGTTGGTTTCTGTATCGATGTCGACCATCACTATATAATTATTTCGTAGTATAGATCCCTTTTTTCGGTTTCAGAATACGATGGATTTTGACAAACTAAGGATCTAATGGTACGGAATATTCTAAAGGAAGTTATTTATTTTTTAAGGAAGTTATTTATTTATTTTTTTGTTCTGTTGACTTTACAGAATTCGTAGAACTCCATCTTGCCTATTGCTCCAGTCAATCGATTGATCGAAAAGGGGGAATAGAAGGAAATGGCGGGTACTCAATGTTTGACTTTCGGACATTGTTTGGACTAGTGAGGAGGTAAACATACCAAAAGTCCCCACTCGTAGGTGGTGAGTCAGTGTGGTGGGATGCCTAGAACGTCACTTTTTTAGTGTTTTCGCTTATATCAGGAAAATTATCCATCGCCGAGTTTCCGAGATATCCGTCCTCAAACTATGGCTAATTTCGAAAAAAAAAAAAATGTTTGCTTCATGTTTATTGCTGTATGTCAGATTTTCGCTTATATTGGGAAAACCAACCATGGCATGGAAAAAAGAAATCTTATACATTATTAAAGCTAATAAATTTTGCAATATAATCAAGTTTCCGATATATCGGTACTCAACTATCGCTAATTTGGAAAAAAAAAAAATGTACTGTATTTGACTGGTAAACTCTTGATAGCTTCGTTCTACTATTAAGTCATGGGAAAGAAAGTTTTTAATAATTAAATTGTCTTCAAGAATGTATTTTGTTTTACTAGTTTTTCTCTAACTTTCGCTAATGATAAAAATAAAATTGTTTACCTCATGTTTTTACTGTATTTGACTAGATATCTCTCGATTGCTTTGTTCTATGATTAAGTCATGGGAAAAAAGTTTTTAATAATTAAATTTTCTTTAAGAATATATATTATTTTACTAGCTTATCTTCAACGGTTCAAAAGTTTGATCAATTATAACTTTATATGTCAATTCCGAGAATTTAAGAAAATAATAAATATTATAATATACGTTATAATATTGGTCTATATTAGTATACAGTTCTATAGTAGCTCTATAGTATAGAGAGTTAGAGCAATATAATAACAAATATTATAAAAATTATTTGATGAGAAGGAGTTGATCGGGGGGTGCGGTCAATTTAATACTAAATTAAATAATTAGAATTGTTTAATTTTTGCCGACGTTTCGACCCATTTTGTAGGTCTTCATCAGGGCTACAAAATATACAAAACATGGTGAAAATAAATGAATATAAGTAGATATAAAATAAGAATAAGTTGTCTGTTACAGAACTAAAAGATGATATCTGAGATATTGTGGGTGACAATGTAGTTAAAATATCAAGTATTATATGTAGAAGATACAATAATATAATACTTGATACATATAATACTTGATATTTTAACTACATTGTCACCCACTATATCTCTGATATCCTCTTTTAGTTCTGTAACAGACAACTTATTCTTATTTTATATCTACTTATATACTTATATACTATTGATTATATAGTTCTTATCGCCACCTCGCTTAGTTTCCGAAATATCTGTCCCCAATTATGGCTAATTGCATAAAAACAATATGTTTACTTCATGTTTATATTTTCACCATGTTTTGTATCTTTTGTAGCACTGATAAAGACCTACAAAGTGGGCCGAAACGTCGGCAAAAATTAAATAATTCTACTTATTTAATTTAGTATTAATTTGACCGCACCCCCCCCCCCGATCAACTCCTTCTCATATTATATCAACGGTCAACCATCTCTACATCATTATAAAAATTATTCTATTCTTCAAATACTCAGAATTGGTATATAAAGTTATAATTGATCTAACTTTTGAAATGTTGAAGATAAACCAGTAAAATAATATACTATTGTATAATATTCGTTATTATAGTTATCTAACTCTCTATACCATAGAGCTTCTATAATACTCCATACTACTATAGTGCAAGATAATAACGAATATTATAAAAAAAAAAAGATGTTCTGCATATTCTTGGAATTGACATATAAAGTTACAATTGATCTAACTTTTGAACCGTTGAAGATAAGCTAGTAAAATAATATATATAGAACACAGCAATCGAGAGATAGCTATTTAAATACAGTAAAAAAACATGAGGTAAAACATTTTATTTTCCTCATTAGCGATAATTGAGGACGAATATCTCAGAAACTAAACAAGCCAGCGAAAAATGTACATAATCGATCATATTGAAAATTTAATAAGCTTTATTTTTTTATATAACGTCTTTGTCGATACGATGGATAGTTTTTCGGATACAAGCGAAAACCCGAAAAAAGTGACCTTCTAGGCACCCTCCACCACATCGCGCTCATCTCCTAGGAGTGGGGACTTTTAGTATGTATACCTAATTACTAGTCCAAACATTGCCTTTTTCTATCATGATAATAATTTTTTCTATATCTCCTTTTCGAGCATTCATTGACTGGACTATCTGTCTTAACCTCCTTACAATTAGGCATTATCTTAAAGATAAGGTTTTCGCCTACAAAATAAAAAATAATCACAGAAATCGGACCATTTTTTGCAGAGATATGGCGTTTTCTCCCAAAAATATTCCGGGCGTTCTTTACCCCAATGCATTATAATTGGTTCCATAACAAAACAGTCTATTAACGTAATAATATGATAATTTAGCGTTCTAAGTTCCACTCGACGATTCTAGAACGTCGCTTGGAAAACCCACGTTAACTATGTTGAACCCTAGTGCCCCACCTTCCATTGTGAAAGTTCACGGAGAGGTGATAGTGGTTAGTGGTGAAAGGGAGTGCGCCGGCACGGACTCGTTACTGTTGTCTATAATCTGTCACTGGTTATAATCGACCGGTTAAAATATGTACAAACAGTAACAGCTTCATTTCGTAACAGTAACAGTTCCAAATCAGGTATTTTTGGCCCTGGAGCCAGGGCACAAAAATCGACCTCATCGCAGGCGAAGGTTTGAACGTAAATTACGAAAGGAGATATTATTCTAAGTAAAATGAACCTTGTCTGCCATTCCAGAGCCGCTACTTTCAAACATGGCGGCTGATATAAAGAACATTATGGAAGTAACTTGAAGAACGAAACGAGAAATATGTCACGAAAAATAGAGGAAAAAAAGTTAATATTTTTCAAACTTATGTATATCGGTGTAACCTGTAAAATCCTAAATTTCTAACCCGAGCAACCAAGGGAAAACTTTTTATAGCTGAAAAAAACATCTTTTTTTTTAACATAGAACTCCAAAACGGCGCATCGAAGCGAAAAAATTACTCGTTAAGAAATTAAAGAACGTTAAATTGTACCTCAACTTAATAATTTTGTTAAGTGGTATGGTAGAAAACCACCGTCAACGAACGCTGATTTTTACCAAATTTGTCATAAACTGAGGCAAATTAATCTAAATGGCTCTGTATCTTGGAAATGATATCCCTGAGAGGAAAAACTTGTTGAATCAAAGTTGTAGAGCATGAAATTCTTCGTCTATTGAGTACCAACAGTTTTAATATAGGTCAATTATATCCCTTGAACCGGGATTTGTTATTTCTTCATCAAGATCGATTTCTTTTGTCACTTTTTTTCTCAAAATCAAAAATATTCTGGTCATAGATGTAATGCGATTGACCCAGGTCTTCGGGATGTTCTGCCCTTGGTTCATCTTACCAAACAGGATATCCTCATGGAGAACAAAGAAGATCGCATCTAGCTGGAAATCCTTCTCCATGGAAGATTTTTTCAAAGATTCTAATCCATTGCTGATGTAAACGTTGGAGGAACATAATAACTTACCATATCTCACAATCTACCTTCTTATTAGCATTTAGTCGTTTTATCTAGATCGAAGTATAAGCTACATCAAAAAGTACTGAACATTAAGCATAAACTCATGTAAGAAATATGTAAGGATTTATTTTTACAATCATTTTGGTTTATTATTTTCAATAATCAACCTTTGTAATCGACCAAGAAAACAAAAGTTAATCCACCACAAAATTTGAGGTTCTGGGTATCAAGATACGTAGAATACGAAAATCGATTTTTAAAAAAATCAGTCCACCCGCCGTTGTTGTTTTGAAATTCAGTGTCTATCTAAAGGCAACCGAAGATGACCTCGTAACTCGGCATTACCATTCGCCCTTTCCTTTCAAGATGGCGGCTGAAAAACCTGTTTCGGTATAGATGCGCCTAAAATAATTTACTGATTTCAATGAAACTTGGCTAAAGTCTTTTCCTCGATGCCCTTTAAATTTATTTATAGAACTTTACCGAAAGTACATCAAGATAGCGGCCGAAAAACCTGTGTCATATAGACTGTAATGCCTAATTGTATGTACCGATTAAATTTATCTTTATAACATAATTCACCGAAAAGAAGTTGAAAACAATTTTAAGAAATTTATGTTAAAATTAGTTTTACGAATACCTCAAAAAGTATGCATTTTGTGGTTATTATGGTCATTTAAATGTTTACGAAATTTCCTAAAGAAAATAAAGTAAAGTATGTGCTTTAGACCGCAAGATTGAAGTGAAAATATCCACAAGGTGGGGTTGATAATATAAAATATAAATTAAGAATAATAGCTCATTATATAGATGATGAAGTGATGAACATTTCCCTCGCTTACAGTATGCAGGTCCAATTTTTAGATTCAGAGATATTTTAATCTATATCTTTCATAAAACTGGTTATCATTTGGTTTTAGACACTATTTTTTCCTTTTCGCCTCTCTAACACGGCGTCGCTTTAAAATGTAATTTTGAATAATAGCCCATTAAAGAGAGGATGGAATGCTGAACAATTCCCTCGCTATCAATATGCAGTTCCGATTTTTTTTTTTTTTTTTTTTTTTTTTTTTTTTTTTTTTTTTTTTTTTTTTTTTTTTTTTTTAGTTTTTGAGATATTTTAATCTATATAACCTGAATATGTTCTAGTGCAAAGTTTATATTATTTGTTTTGGTTTTTTTATTTTTGGAAAACGTTACATCTACTGAAGAAATCGGGA